TCTAGTACAGTACAGTATGCACATATTCTTTCACTAGTTTAACTGTCTGCATTAATTAATAATTTAATTTAATTTTGGGAACCAAATAATCATTTTTCCTGGTTACAAATTTAGATTCAACTCCTTTATAATCTATTTACATGAATGTTCTGAACAAATTGACACCACAATTAACTCCCTACCACCAGTGGTTACGGAAATATGAGAAACTGTGAATATGACCCGGAGATCAAGGTCAGAAATGACATGTCCGGTCATTTTTTAACAAAATATTCTATTATGGTAAATAGAAATATAAATGTTTTGAACAACTTGGCACCAAACTTAACTCTCTACCACATGTGGTTGCAAAGATATAAGGGCCCTATTACTATGAATTTTGACCCTGACCTTTGACATTTTGCCACATCAAAATGATTCTGGGGCCACCCTGAACCAATTTATGAAGTCAATATTCTCTTTACCTCAAATGCATACAAAACATGGTTTGACTACTAGGGTATTGAGGTCAACTCAGGATTATATGACACAAAATTACCTACCCAATAAAATTGTACGTCTGTCACAGTAATTTTATGGTGTATTCATAGAGAAAATGAAAAAAATTAAATTCAATTTTTATTCTGCTAGAAAGCCCACACATTTAGTGGAAAACAACAGGGAAATACTTTTTTTTAAATGTCCCACACATCACAGAGTTTTAAAAAAAAGTATAGTGACGTAGGAAAAGTCACTTTCTCTGATTACGTCCGTCACGGGGTCATTTTGACCCGTATCTCCGTAACGCATACGAGTTAAAAAATAAAAATTGTAGGCTTGATAGTACTAACCAGTAGATGTAATGCAAACTTTAAAAAAAATAAATTGCAAGCTTCATTATGAAAATATAGATTCACAAAGTGTCTGAAATGTACGTCCGAATTTATGGAATTGCCCAGGGGTAGGCGCTTCAGTTCAATTTTATTATTTTTGTTTGTTGTGCATAGTAATTTTCCCGATTTTTAGGTGTGAACACAATTTGTATTTTCTTTTTAATTATACTGTGGTATACAGTAGACAAGAAGAACAATTCCCAGTAAAAAATATTTGCGGGAAATTCAGTAGTTGCTTCTGTTCGTTACGGACTGCCAATGCACTTTTTGACATCACACCTCACCTAAACATGCGCTCCCGATTATAACTTTTTTTTATTGAAAATGTAGGAAGATGTTAAGAGAGTATTAATTGCTGTAGCCTAGATTGTAGGCTTATTCATTACGTTTGCCGTGCCTGACTATTGTAAACGAAATATCTCTTGCTCACTCTACAGTAGATCACTAACCTTCCTAGGCCTAACTACAATACACTAGTATGCGACCTTCGCAGGCCGCCGGCAGCGGGTAATAAATTTTAGGCAAGTAGCGAACCTGTCACTCGACCTGTCACTTGTGACAGGGGGTTGGATGATCGATTACCCGAGTAGGTCGGGTAGCAGGACCGAATTCGCTAAGGGCTAATTTTCGGCATGTACCGACCTGTACTGACTTCCAAAACTTTTCTTTTACACCGACAGTATTTTGTGTACCATGTGGTTTCAAACTCTTATTGACTACTTCACTTTTGCAGTCTAACCCCTTTCTCTTTAGTTGTTCCCATAGCCTATCAATGATGTTACACGGGGACCCAGAATCTATTAAAACATCCACTAACTAAATGGCCACCAATATTTGCCTTATATACTGGCTCATCATCAGATGTAAAATTTACTGCAATTGTAAATATTTCATGATCATCAGACATCAATATCATCAACATTAAATACCTTATCACATTTCTTTCTCCCTGGCTGTTTGCCTTTATGTTAAAAGTCACCCTTTTCCCCTTTTTCCCTCTGTTCTTACAAACAACTGAAAAATGTCCAACTTCACCACATTTTCTACACTCTGCTCCTCTTGCTAGGCAAACTATCTTTTGCAAAGTGTCCCTGTCTTCCACATTTCCAGCATGTACTTCTTGGAGGTTCCTGATGATTAGTCTTCACCATCAATCTATTCACATTTAAGCTCTGTGTCATCTCAGCTGACTGAAGCATCACTAGTTCGTACAAACTTGCTATACCCATGGCTTTCTGAAGGGTAAGTTCATTCCCTTTTTCCAGTAACTTTTTAAGCCGTGGAGCAGTACAGCCCTGAATCAACTGGTCCCTCACATGGGTGCTGGTATCTGCACCAAAATTACAATAGGTAGCCTGCCTATTTAGCTTGGCGACAAAAGAGGCTACGGTTTCGCCAATCTCTTGCACCATTTTCCTAAACTTGTGACGTTCATATGGTTCGTTAGTTTTGGGGGTGAAATATTTATCCAGTTTCCTAATAGCCTTATCGTATGCGTTCAATTGCTGCTGGCCCTCAACTTCCCCTTCGTCAGGCAAATATAAATATCTGTTGGAGTCTTACTCCACCGGCATGCAACAGTACAGCTTCTTTTTGTGCGTTATTGACAATGCCCTTGGCAGCTATCAAATAGCCTATCGCCGTTTTAAACTCACGCCACTGCGTAGGCAGAGTGGTGGGCTCCGCATATAAATCTAACCTTGGCAAATCTTCACTAAACGTCGTAGAAACAGCCATATTTCTTATGTTCCATACACCGGCGTTTATCTATATATATCCAGGTTTATCCTCGTCGCCAATGTTATGTCTCTCATTCACTCACTGAGACAAATGGACAACAAAACCACATCTAAGTAATCCAAACCGGTTGTCTTTATTATCCACTATATTCAACAACCATCACAACCAACTCGAACTTTCTCTGCTCTTACAATAATAGAGGGCGATATACAACTTTGAGTACACTACAACAATGACTCACTCAAAGCCATCTTTCCATGCTTGCAGGCAAGACAATATAGAAGTTGTGGGATAAACATTTTTCAAGAACCGAACTTGCATTCACCAAAGCATCACATCATTATAGCATAAAAAAAAAAACACTAATGAGGTACATTATTACTTTAGATGGCAGTATAGTTAATTACCTTGAATACTTGCATAGTCTGTGTCAGAGGACAAGGTGACAGTCAAATTTACATTAATGTTGTCTGTACCTTGGATCAAGGATCTGTCTTCTGTTTGGGCAGGTAGTACATTTGTAATAACCACACCTAAAAAATACCATTTTCATATAAGACAATAAGCCTGAGAAATATTCTTTGAGTCATATTTTCAAACTTTTTAACTTCAAATACTCAAAAGTAACTTTGGTATGGAGATACACCTCCACTGGTCATAATTAAAGATGATAATAAATATTCAAGAAAAAAGTATAACCCCATCGGGATTCGAACCCAAGACCTTTCAATTACCATTCGGATACTCTACCAACTGAGCTATATTTTGCCATTAGCACACATATTTTTATCAAGGTATTGTGTAAATTGTTATGGTTTCTTTACACTTTTGATTAGGTGAAAAAACTGTATCATCAAAAAGGCATAATAGAAATTAATATCAATGTTGGAAATAATGATTAAAAATAGTTCTGTAAAAATAAAAATAAATAAGTATCAATATTCATATAGGATCTATGTGAACAATCATTAGACATTTCACAAAATAAACAAAAATGAACAGAAATAAACAAAATATAAAACACAATATTACAATAACAATGACCTTAATAAAAGAGTAGTGCCAAATAACACACACAAAAAAAACTACAAACCTTCACAACTAATATCAGTGCATTTCGTAGTTGAATAACCTGTGTCCGGTGTTAGAGTAAAAGCAGGTGATGCTGATGGATTAACAGATAATGTTGCACAAAATTTAGGAAGCTGTGAACAATCTTTACTGTCCAGGTTTAAATTTGCTGTTCCTTCCAGTGTAAAAGTTTGCCCTGGAGTAATCCCAACATTGGGATTAGTTAAGGTAGCAGCGACCTGTGTCCCAGTGACAAGATTTTCACTTGAATCGGCTATGTAGAAGGACAAACTCCAAAGATTTGATCCGGTTAGGGAATCACTTCCTGTTGTAGTGCCAATCGTGAACTGAGCAGTAACGGAATGACCATCCACATGCTCTATAAGTGGATCTCCGGAAATTACGTTTGGAATAATATTCGTAATGATAACTGAAACATAAAACAAAACAATTACTCAACTATGGCAAAAGAACATACAGAATTAGTAAAACATCAGTCAGAATACATACCGTGGATGCGAAATTTTTTGAAAAGGGGTATATTTCTTGAAGGTTTTCATAGCAATTATCAAAATTGGTTACCTTAATTTGTTTGGTAACCAATTTAGGGATTTTTGTCGATTGTGTCCATAAACTGGCGAAAACTATTTAAATGAGCTATTCAAAATATATTGTTGAATTTTTAAGGTTTTTACATTGTTTTTTTCTTTTTTCCACCTTCAACAATATGGAGAGAAAAAAGGATAATTCCTTACCATTATTTTGAGCTTGAGATGCAAAAATCTATATGGAAATAAAAAAATAGTATTATTTATTTATTGTCTTTATACTGGACACTTTCAGTGGTAAAGCACTGATTTCCAAAGTGGTTCAGTATTAACAACAGAAAAAAAACTATTGAAGAAACATCATTAAAAACAATTTCTTTAAATATCGACAATACAATAATTTATATTTGGGAATAATATGCATGGGAGAAAGAATTGTAAGTTATCTTATAAAGGATTTGAAATAGAAGTTTTAAAATCCAAAAGTGTCATGGATTCAAAGTTTGTTTTAATATTATCTGGGGTTATTCCATAATTTCCATTTAATAATCTGTGAACAAACGTTCTTTTACCTTGCATATTATTCCATGGATGTTCAATTAGAATATTATTATTGCTTTGACTTCGTGTACAGTGCAAGCTCAAACAATTAATTTGAGGTTAGAAAGACAATAGGAAAGGCAAATTTGTTCTTTTTATGTCAATTCAACAAAGAAAGGCTAGGCCAGGCATACTATTACAAGAAATGTGCATAATTCTACTGTAGGTATGACAATGAACATAAAATTTTCAAATGGTAATACCGTAAATGCTCAAATAAGCACCACGGAGCTTAAAACATTTTTGGAGGTTTCAGTGCGGCTCTATTCGAGAGCAGCGCTTATTGAAGAGCAGCGCTTACAAAAAATATTGGCGTAGCGCTTTCCATGCCCGTTCCCATGTTACCTACCGGTATCTCACATATTCGCGTAGTTCTAGGCCAATCATAAGTCCTACGTCATCGTAAATGAACGTTTATAAGGAAATGCTTGTTTAGCATTGTATACATTCAATTCACATACACTCAAAAGGGTAATACTACTCTTGATTAAGCGCCGCAGCCCTTATTCGAGAGCGGCACTTTAGCTAAAAAAATCAGGTTTGGCGCTGCATTTATTCGAGAATGCTGCTGATTTGAGGACTTACGGTAAGACTAGTCCTTAGTTTCGCGCAAGTCGCAGGAATCGCCTGGAAATCGAGACAGTCTCCCACACTCCCGCAAGAAAGCAGAAATCTTCCGGAAGCTAACCCATCTCCAGTAAAATTCATTCAGGCCGGTAGTAATGGTTATATGGTAGTATGGATAATAGGCCATCAGCTGTAATCTAGTCTGTATCGTTCAGTTCTGTCCCAGCAACAGATGGACCAGCTGATTTTTGTGTAAATCGGAGAGCATATAATAATTAAGGCTGAGCAAAAGTTTCTCAAACAGCTTCTAATCCAAACGACGAGGGGTCAGATTTCCCCGACGAAAGCAAAGTGGGCGTGGTCGAGCTTCGATTAAAAGGTTCCGAAAGTGGTCCTGGGCAATTTAGAGGTTTCAAAGGCTTATTTAATCGATTTTAGAGTCTACTAATATGTAAAAAATACATATAATTTTTTTTCTCCCCGACGAATTGTGATTTTTCTTCCCCGACGGTAGTGGGGGAAGCTCTCCCCGACAGGGGCCCTGCCGCCCCCGCCCCCGCTGGCGCCACCCCTGGTTACAGTTTGAGTAACAGAATCACAACAAAAAAAAACATATCCATAGAAAATACATGAATATTGGGGTTTTTTTTAGGAACTTGGAAAATTCAAGGGGCTCTTTTTGAATGAACAAAGATTAGGACTAGGCATTACGAGAATGCTGTGAGCTTGAACAGAACCACAAATGAAATTAGTGCTGATGTCAAAGCTTGTTGGGCATCTGCCGATTGAGATGAGCAGAATCATTACCAGGCTGACGCTTCTTGTAAACTCAGATGAGAACATGCTAAAGAGAAGAAAAAGAAATAAAAGAAACAGAAGTAGGGCTAAACAAAGACGAGGAAAGTTGCAAACATACTGTCCATGGGTGCTCTCATCTGTTCAGGAAAAAAATATCCTCATTTTGAAATTGACAAAGAAGGAAATTTAAATTTACATCACGATAAAGACAGTCGTAAGACTGATTGCAATATAGGCTTACTAAAAAAGAATCACATGATATTGCTTTATATAAATAAATAAATAAATAAACATCGAGGGGGCGCCTAATCAAATTAGGAGGGACACTTATTCAAACGGGGTGGGTTAAGATAGTTCACGAGAGGGGTGATTATTCAAACGGGGCGCTTATTCACGTGAGTACGGGACATTGTTAAGAGCTTTGACAATTTACAGGTAGGTACTGATACAGTAATTGGTATTTGTATAGCGCCTTTCCCTTGCTGTTATGAAAACCTCTATTATAACAATTAAACACAAAAAAGAACGTACAGTACAGAAAAGTGACAGTTGGACAAACAAGTACCTCTATTGAGTGCACGTATAAAATGATTAAGATATAAGATAAGATTCAATTGGATGATTATTTCAAAGTTTAAAGGTATAGCAATTGAATGAAAAACCTCCGAAATCGTTCGCTTATTAAAACGAGGTATAATGAAATATACAAACGTTGAGAGACGTGTCGTTCCAGCAGGGATACGTTGGTAAAAAGAAAACACATTTTTAACGCTCTGTAACCTCTGTGTGACGCGCGCACACATTATATTCGCGCACCTTGGTCATGGTCCTGCATTTATATAGTGCATACTACACAATATCTCTATAGGCCTTTATATCCAGTGTCAAAGACAAGAATTAACGAAAGCAAACAGACTAAAAACAAGAACAAAACAGATTAGAATTGTGAGAAAAAAATGTGATTTTAGCCAGGATTTAGAAAGACAAGAGGTAGAAAAGACCAAACAAATTTAGAGAATTTATTCCACAACTTTAATGCAGCAACAGAGAAGGATTTATCACCATAGGTTTTCAACCGACCAGAAGGAAAATCTACAATGATTCAACTACATTATGTGGATGTACGTATTCGCCTGCATATATAGTTGATCGCAATTTTAGGAGGTCATTAATGTACTGTGGAGAAGAACAATTATGAGACTTACACACGAAAAATAAAAGTGTAAATATAT